GGGGAATATTCCCCAATTTTCAAAACCGCATGCATTGCGAAAAAGATTTGAAGAATAATAAACACAATAGCCTCCATTTGGGGTGAAAATATGCTTGCATATTTGTCCTTGAACATTATCTGTTCCTCGAAGCTCACAGTTTTCCTTGAGCTACGCTCTCGGAAAACTGTTCACCTCTTGGAACAGATTATGTCCGCAGACAAATATCCACGCACATTTTCACGCCAAATGGAGGCTATCGTTTATATGGTACCCGTCTGAGGAAAATACCTGGATGGATAGCACTCTTCCATGAAACGTTTTCTGTAAACAAGTGGGCTTATAGAAAATAAACAATTGAAACTGTATGAAGTACGTTTTTGTCTGTTATCTTTTTCAAATTTAACATTTGGCTTTCACAGCTTTCATCTAAAAAAGTTAAAACAATTTAATATGATTTTTAAACTGGCGTGCAGAAGAAAATTTAGTGGTGAACAATAAAGACAATAGAGCGTTTATGCCTTAGAACTATCAGCCTGATAGTTGCCCCTTGGAAATTTGATGTTCTTAAAACTAGCATATTTGCCCTGAAGCTTCTGAATCACTTCTCAGGCAAATATTTGAGCGAATTTATAGGGTACACAGATGTGATAGATTTTCTTTTAAAATGCAATCTAGTTTGCATCAGACTTTCCTGTTAACTTACCACCATACTTGTGGTCAAGACTTTCAAGAGATGAAAAGAACAGTGATACCTTACATTCCTTCAGNTCTCGGAAAACTGTTCACTTCTCGGAACAGATTATGTCTGCAGACAAATATCCAGGCATATTTTCGTGCCAAATGGAGGCTATTGTTTATATGGTACCCATCTGAGGAAAATACCTGGATGGATAGCACCCGTCCATGAAAATTTTTCTGTAAACAAGTGGGCTTATAGAAAATAAACAACTGAAACTGTATTAAGTAGGTTTTTGTCTGTTATCTTTTTCAAATTTTACATTTGGCTTTCACAGCTTTCATCTAAAAAAGTTAAAACAATTTCATATGATTATTAAACTGGCGTGCAGAAGAAAATTTAGTAGTGAACAATAAAGACAATAGAGTGTTTATGTCTTACAACTATCAGCCTGATAGTTGCCCCTTGGAAATTTGATGTTCTAAAAACTAGCATATTTGCCCTCGAAGCTTCTGAATCACTTCTCGGGCAAATATTTGAGCGAATTTATAGGGTACACAGATGTGACAGATTTTCTTTTAAATGCAATCTAGTTTGCATCAGACTTTCCTGTTAACTTACCACCATACTTGTGGTCAAGACTTTCAAGAGATGAAAAGAACAGTGATACCTTACATTCCTTCAGATCACCTATAAGAAGAAGAGACATAGCATCTTTACTTGGGGATAATTGTGAAAACTGTCCCTTATGTTTATCTTGACCTGACTTTCATATTTACTTATTCATATTTTAATATTTACTTATTAACTTTTTAATATATACTTATTTATTTTTTACATTCATAATTTCCTTTT